ATCGCAGATTGATAAATAACACACTATTATCTGTTGAATGAAGATTTTAGCGAATCTATTGCGCTGCTCGTAGAAATTCGCTGGAGGATGAGTCAAGCTAAAATTTATGCGTTCTAAGTTTATCATGTAAAATAATTTTTATGTAATACTATACAAATAGAATGGATTAACCGTTTGTCTATTTTACTCTGAGTATGCTTGAGCTGTAGAAAACCCGCAGAGATAAAAAGTTTTCACGGTATAGAGAATATATTGTTGAATAATTTTTTCCTTTTAATTCTCAAGGCCTGTACGAGGCTTTTCTTTCCAAACTTTAAGAATTGATTTCAGGGACATCATGCGCATTGCATATTTTCATGACATGCATTTACGCTAAATAATCCTAACCGATAGGATTGAGACGTTATGAATAGAGCTATTATTATTAGATAATAATGACTTGGTTCAGCATTGTGCAAGCTATGTTTAAAGAGAATTCAGGCGTTGTTCGGAAGAAGAATGAATAAGGCGTACAAGAGTCATCGTGAATGATATTACTCAGGATAGGTTTCGATTCATAACATCTCAAAGGTTGTCACGATTTTTTATTCATAGTTTTATTCATAGTTTTGAGTCACTCTCAAGCGCAGGTAAAGAATAAAATTTTTTTGATTCGATAATGGTGCGGCCGCAATAGAAGAAATAAAGAATTAGGAATAAGAAACGATTCCAACCTATCAGAAACCGTGTATTCCGGTGTATCCGATATCTTAGATAGATTGAAATCTTTATTCCTTATTTCTAATTCCTTATTCCTTCTTGTGGCTACACTTTATTAGATGTTCGAAGAGATAAAGCAATAGGCTCTATGAAGGGAGCATTATGAACGGAAAATTATAAATATAACGTGGATATCGTTAACAGACGGTTTTTTATCCTTCATAAAAAGAACCCTGGGGGACTTTGTTCGCACGTGACGTATCGTAAGAGACAATGACGCGGTAGCAGTGCAAAACATAACATTAAACGCAAGAGCGATTTAAGGATTTATTCGTGCGTAAATCCAGGCGCACGTGCGTACAAAGTATCACGTGCGACAACGCGGTCTGTTCGAAAGTAGAAGTTGCAAGTTTTATCACGTTACATTAACCGGGCATTTTATCATAACGAGCGAACAGTACGAAAAAATGTATTTGCGAAAATTAACGAAAAATCGGAGCGAAAAAAAATATCTATTTTAATAAATATTTAGTTCAATACTGCCAACTAAACATTTTCTTACAATAAATAAATATTTGTTCAGAAAAAAAAAGATTGTTAAATCAAATTAACATTTCTTGTATCAAATAAATATATCTTTATATTTAATAAATATTTAATTGATAGTATTCAACTAAATTAATTTATTAAAATTGAGTGTAGGTACTAAAAAAATCAAATTTAAATTAATTTATATATTAAACTATAAAATTAGAGTCTAACGTTGCAAGTGCTTCGATTATTTTTTTTATAAATTAATTTCGTACGGAATTCTATGTAGGTAAAAAATAAAAAAGATAATTTTATCTGTCCTAATAGGATTCGATTTCTTAATGTGAATTAAAAAAGCCATTACTGAACACAGAGTTCTAAGGATGATCGGTAAAATTAAAAGAAGACGCTCAAAGATTTCTTTGATACATTTTTTTATCGCGTGTTTACGATTAATTCATACGAAATCTAACATAAAATATTCAGACTATTCATGACTATTAAGTATTCATATGTACAATTTACTGTACACCGGTCTCCAATAAAAGTTTCTCACATCCAGTTAACTGTACATCGTATTGAGAAACGTGTGTTAAATCAAACATGTGATATTTCACATCTTATCGAGTTAATTTCACGAGTGCGCGTGATAATGGATACATTTCTAACTTAATATTTTATAAATTTCAACATAAAAGAAAATTTTCAGTTCACAGATTTTAAATTCTTCTTCTTATAAAATAAATTTTAACTATTGTTATATTAATTATTTTTATTATTTTTTTTCATTTATCAGTGATTTATTTAGAGCTATGTATTTCCTAGAAGTCTCTTATACGATGTTGACTTTTAGTCCCAAGTATACAAATAACTCGGGTATACACATTTCCAATCTGTATAATTATAAATACATGTATTATACATCTCCCCACCATGTAAAATACAAAATATTTCAGATTTATTTTTAAATTGTTTAAAATTTAAAAAATATTTAATTGTAAAAATATTTTTTCATTGATATTCATTAGAAGATTTTTCTTCCACATTTTCTCTTCGCGTTAACATACTTACAGTAACAACAATTTTGAATAAGAATTATCATCGGTAAGAAGTATTCCAATGGAATTCAGTTACAATTTCTACATGCGTCATGTGAACGTGCTTATCTCATATTTGTTCTGGATCATACCAGTGTCTACTCAACGAAAAATAAAAAAAGAAAAGGAAGTGATACGAGCAATGAATTGTCGAGAAATTTATCTCAAATTTACTTTATGAACACGATCCGGAATATTATGTTTCTCACATACAATTACCGGTATATACAGTGCAGTAGAGCAAGTTAATTCCATATACACGAATTAAGGCCTGATCTTATTAAATACACAACTTCATATACAAAGCGGATCTTGTCAGAGTCAACTCGCGCTCCTCAAACTCCTCAAACGGTCTTGCAGAATCCTCTTCTTATAATTTTTTTAATTAATAAAATAAACAAAAGGTTCTTACTTTTTTCTCAGCGGTCACCCAGCATGGCGCATTCCGGTTGGATGGCAAAATAATTCCGCTGGTGAAAGACGGAGACGAGTCCTCCCGAGTTAAGTTCTCTTGTTACCAAGTTGAAACACCGCACAGAATATGGGAATAAGAAAATAAAAGAAAAAAAGAGGAAAAAGGGAAGAAGAGAAGAAGCAAAACGCCCACGCGATCGCGCCGCGCAGCCGAGAGCGACTCGCCAACTGCGAGTGCGACTGAGTGACTGACTGACCGACTCCTCCAGCCACTCCGGCGTGTACCGTCACCTCACTTGCATCGACACACGTATACCATGCGGCTGGCATCCAAGCACTCCCCGCCTTTGCCTCTACAGGCCTTTCGTTTCCAGTTCCAAAGCCCGACCCAACGTGGCCCCAACGTGCCTTTTGTTGCATCTCGTCCGCTCCGCTCCGCACCGCTCCGCTCCGCTCCGCGCGCGCAACGCCGCTTCTGCCGCTCTTCCGACCGGTTCAACGCGTTATTTCTCCTTGCGTCGTTTTGGACCGCTCTACATACAAGGCGGAGATCTGCTGAGTGCAATTAGCCCGTAGAATCAATTGCGCCGACTCGACGCCAAGCTTAGTTAAACAAGCTTTCTTTCTCCGTTAATTAAAAAAGAATAACAGCAAATTACGAAGACTGTTGATGCAATCAGATCTTTTCATTATATTATATGCATGTAATGTAATTAGTTGCATGGAATTTGGTACTTGTATCACAGTCGTCAAATTTTTTTTCATACAGTATTTATTTCTACATTTGATTTGTTTTTAAGCAATAAAAACTACCTTCGTGTCTAGATACTTACTTTGTTAAAAAAAAAAAAGAATATTGCAATTTCGTTTTATTCCAAACATTCTTTATCCACTATATTTTAAATGGATGTAATCGTGAACTGACAGATTAAGGGTTAAAATATCGAATATACACACAAGTTACATTCTACGAAATTATAATTTATATGATGATGGTGCTATTCAGTACGAAACGTCCAAAAACCGGTACTTTATAACTATAGCGCAGTACGGCTTCAAACCGAAACGTGAAACCTCAATAATAACCTTGCTATATAATCGATTCTGGCGCATCGAGTTGCCTCGAAGCATCTCGATCATGAACAAAACGTAGACTCATGCAAGAAATTTCTTAAAAATATAAATACGTTAAATAAACGACGCGAAGAACACAATAATTATAAATCGCTACAAAACCGTCACTATAATTATATAAATTCCCGCAAGCGCACAAAATTTGAATCTTATGTCTACGTATGAAGCTATGTAGAATTTGCAGCAATTCTTCCAACTCAATATTTTTTATTTGATTAAATTGAAGAAATAAAATGTATAATACATTTTTAAAGGAAAATTTGAAATATTTAAACTCTTTTATTTTAGAATCAAAGACAAGTTATATTAATATATAATCGAATATAATTATTGAAATTTTAGATTATTCTGATTATTAACATAAAATAAATCTAAGTGTATAGTGTTAATCGAATATTTTTTTCCACATTTTTCATATCCCAGTTAAATTAGAACATATGCTCCATATATTCATAGCTTAGGCTGTGTATCTCATCAATTCGTATTGTTAGGCAACCCAATATATTTCTTTGCAAAGAAGTTGCTCATTTACTTTATGAAACTCATGTATTGTTCAATTTAATATTGAGAATGGAATAATGAAATTAATAATATTTTTTGTGGTTAATAAAAATTGTATTTAAAAAAATATTCAAATAACACACATAAATTATAAAAAGGGTAATTTAGTTATTCATATTCTATTTAAATATTTCGATAATGACAAAAACTTATTATTGCAATATTAATATTAATTAAGTATATTTTTTAATGTAAAATAATT